GGCACCAGTTAGTGTGGTATGGAGAGAAACATGCATCAAGAATTTTATAGCTGGTATTTTTGATGTAAAGAACAAATATAAAGATCAACATCAATTGCTTAATATGTTACGTGGCTAGAACAAGGTGAAAATGTGTTTGCTCAACATGTTGAACGTGCTTCTTGGCAGGTTAAGAAATGGGCAACAGCTAAACAGCAAACTCCTGCTTCTGTTAGTTATGGCTGGGTTATGAAAGATGGGGACATTTTGAAAAACTGGGAATTTATTTCCGTAAATACAAGAGCTTTAAATGCCATCATGAACATATTTGCTCCTGTTATAAGGATGGACTGGCCTGCTCACCTGTGTATCACTGTGAAGATGGTGAACAGTGTAGTAATCTAAACAGTTATGAGGACATAGATCAGATCACTATAGATATAGCCTAGAATATTTCCATGGAGCAGTGCACAACGCTTGCATATGATATAAGAAAAGTAGGACTTTTAATATGAAAATTGTCTTCTTATATTTATTCTTATAATTATTGAATCACATATCTTACAGCAGTACACTCTTTTTGATATGATTTTTGTAAGTATGACTCACACTCAATAGCTGCAGAATACTACACTTAATTTTCAAAGATCATGTATTAGATATGAAATAAACTATATATTGGAATGTAACACAATTAATAATGGCGGCCATATTGATGACGTCATTTTAAGCCTTTTAGTGTTATAAGCACAGTTCAATTCCTATTGTTGATGTTATACCATTCGGTACATTTTTAGTATAGTTTGCGATATTTTCATTACTATTGTTTTGATTTGTGCATATGCTAATTTTAAGCAGAATTTTCCAAGGCTTGCTGTAATCACACTTTGATATACGGAATAACAGAAGTGCATCTCAAAAGGAAGCAAACATAATACTGCATTACCGACAGATTTTCCGCCTAAATTTGGCAGTCGTAAAACACTATATTCGTTCTTTGCATACTTCTACACACATTATCGTTCGGCGGTTCTGTCGTTGTCCGCCTGCTCAACGTCCGCATATGGAATATTTAAATTCAAGCTAGTTTGAAATATCACTTAATCAGATGACTTATATATATATGACAAATGACTGTTTTAAGAAATCAATGAATTAACAATTACATAATCGAAATTGGAATTTATGAACACATCATGACGATTTGACAGTCTGAGCAGACACTCTCGAAGTGAAATAGCAACCCAGTAAATAACCACACTTTCGAATTTGAATTTTTAATCGTCATATATGTAAATAATATATGTTTTGATCATGATATCCATCGACATCTCGATCCCTTACCCCACAACTACCAAGCACGACATGCAACTAGCTCACATTATTATACCCCGAGAATGAACCTTACTCTAAACCAGTGAGTGCTAAATGAGACCTCAGATAAAGTGCTGATATTCACTATATGAATGTTTCTATTTGCAATAGTGTCCTCATATGACTCCATGGGAACGGTCAATCCGTGACACCTGGCGACCATTCATTTTTCCTTGTGTGTATCAAATAAACAAGATGGAATTATGGCAAAACGTCATGTTTCATCTTTGAAATTTACACTTAGGCTATAAAAATATCAATAAGTAATAAAGCCACAGCGGTTTCATTCCATTTTAAATTACCCCTACATCTGCCCTACATACTGTGGCCATTCGTTATTTTATTCTCATTATCACAGTTATTATCATTATCACAACTTTCAAAATACGAGCGTAATGTATTAAATTGGACTGAGGGCGTACTGTGACAAATTGAAAATGGAATATTGGAGTTCAATTTCATTATTCCATTATTTCATATGTGTCTTGACCTGTTTTCAAGATAAACAAAAAAAACCAACCTGCGAGATTTGATACAAGGTAGCAACCGGACAGAAACCCAAGACAGCTGAAAACTGAAAAAGTCGAATTGGTTAAACGATTGCTTTGGAGTAATCTACTTTGGGTGAACAGTGAGAATGTCATTTGAGCCACACCTTTAATATTACGGCGTTTTCTATTGTCTGTAAGTTGAAATATGTCGACATGACTTGCACTGACAAAGGAAGAAACAGCTCATAGAACAGTACGAAGCTCACCCGTGATAGTCGCGGCGGTTGGGGTTGGTGCGTGCAGTATGTCGATTAACATCAAGGTGCAGAAAGAAATACTGGAATTAGAACTACCGGTTAGATCTGGTAGACTCAACGCTTAAATGAATGACCGGTTTCAAGAACGAATGTATCTGTCTATGTTTCATGTATCTGGTGGAGGTGTTGATCAACGAAACTTTATGACACAGATCGCGAGTAATATGGCGCTGTACTCGTTGCACTGGTTTTATATATTGTCTTTTGTTGCTAATAAAATGAATACAATGTCACAACATTACGAATAAAACAGTCTCGCGGTTACAAATTTTGTAGGCATAGGGATTGAACAATCTATTGAAGGTCGTATCAAGATCAAACTGAAAATAAAAATTTTGTAAACACAGTACCGCCGAATTACTCCGTATTACGTCCACGAAATACATTTGGAGGTAAAGCATTTACTAGCAATAAACTGACAAGGTGACACACCCTCTACCTCAATACCCATTTTGAAATATTGTTGGTTGATATGTCTGTCCCACTGCGTATACGTCGACACTAGGTCGGGCCCTACCAACACACATTAAATTTTGATTTCTAATGTAATTTTCTATAACGTATTTTGTATTTCAATTTCGCAAATGCGCATTTGAAAATATGGGGTAAAATTCAATTTCCGTTGTCGATTTCAATATTGAGAAATGATTTTCTGGCATAACTATATTTACTTTATGTGCCATGTATTTTATATCATGAATGGCCGCCAGGTGTCACGGATTATGGGCGCTATTATATCACTATATCCCCGCTGGAAACGTGCCAGGGTATAAAAAGTGCCATTGTGGATAGGCATGTAAAAAACATTTCCAAAAGTGAAGCAATAATGTATTGAATATTGCCAAAGATTTATGAGATAAAGAATTTAACTTCGAACTACGGTGATATATGTTGTTTTGTGCTATATTGATGAATATCATTTTTTGTATACTCATTAAACGCATTTCTAAAATTGACATAACCATCACAATACAAAAATGTATTACAGATACAGACTAGCCTAACTATTGCCTTGCATTCGAATACAGTCACTGTAGCTATAACATTGGCATTCATTTGACATTAAAACGGCACACGCACGTACCTCATGCAAAAAGTGGTAGCATTAAACTCCGACAAAAAATCTACAAGCAAATTCACAATTCCGAAGACAAATATAACACAATACAACATCTCATGAAAACCAGCCAAGAGATGATGAAAAGTGTTTCAAAACAAGCAAGCAAATTCTATCCGCAAGCACCCCGCAATATACATCTCAAAAGCACTTATTACCATTAACGTAACTAGTTTGTAAACTAGGGAGTCAACCATGCATGGAAAAATAAAGCAATCAACGATAGTTTATAGTATCTCTTTTTAACAAAACAATTATGTTCTAACCTCAACAATTATACATATTAGTATCTGATAAAACACCTTTTTAATGACTGGTCAGGCAATTTAGGAATTACCTGATGCTTTATTTTAGTGTAATGTCATAACATTGCAGAAAAGCTATATATGAGCTTCGTACTCGACTGAACTTGGATCGTTGGGCCTAAGTACTAAAAACACAAAAGGCGCTCCACAGCTGGAATCCCACCCTTCCTTACAACAATTGCGTACCACCTGGTAAAAATACATATATTATTCGTTCAATATATGAATTGAACGTTCTCTAATTAACTTTACACTCGTCAGTCCCACAGAATAAAACCTCACCTGCTCTATCGAAGTAATTGTCTGGTATCTTCTTGATTTTGAAATACAAATTCATACCCTGGTTGCCGAGAATCTTAACTGCTGAAGACATGATTGCACTGAGATGTTGTATTCGATAGGTCGGGAATCCAATCTGCCTGAAACTTGTGTTGCGTGCATTACTATATGTGGTTAATATTACATTGTGAACTCTTCCCCCATTTGCATATTCTGCAATGAAATGACAAACATGGAACCTCGCATTGGCAGCCTTTAATTATTTAGCCGTATTATTAGTGTTATAACTTCATTCTTATTCAGCATATTTGTAAAATATTAAAATAAAACTGTATATGCAGAAAATGATGCATTTATTAGATATTACATGTATATGTAATAACAATTCCGTCCCAACAAAATTTCATTTAAAAAAAGATTTAACGCTGTCCCAAATACTAAGAATATATTTCCATTATTTTAAGGCATACAATGCAACAGTTCTTTTTTGTGCATAGACAACTTTGTGCCTTATACCCATCATATTTAAAATAAGCTTTAGATTCGGCTTCACAAAATAAGTGAAATAAGTAATTTAAATAGTTATGAATACAATAACGTTTTAAACAAAACACTAAATTAAATTAAATTAATGAAATTACGAGATTGTATACTATAAATTGTATCACACACAGTTGTTATACAAATGCGTCAAACCAAAACCTTCTCCATTTTGTAAAAAAACGTGTCAGTCCAACGAATATTTAGATATTATTGAAACAATAGCAATATTGATTATTACTTGGTATAAGAAATGTGATCTTAATACAAGCTCAAATTTGAAATATCGCATCAAATAATTGTCCAGAATCGTTATTGTTTGTTGATGCATTGCGTTCTTTTCTGAAAGAGCGGACTTTAATATATATATTAATTACATTATAAATTTATTTGTATTTTGAAGGCGCGTTGATGATATTATTTATGTAGTAAAATTAATTGCTGGTCCTTATTATAACAGAAATTTAGTTATTATTAGCCATTGCCCTATGTTGATGCGATAAATCGGTCACATGCACGCGATTCATTATGGTCATTTAACTGTATGCATATGTCACAGTGACGTCATCAGTTTCAATCAAGTCACGTGACGTGGTCTTCATTCATCAGCACTAATTCCCATTTTCTCACTCATTTTTCCTAACAGTTCATTCTGTTGTTCCAACAGCATCGATATCGTTTTTTGTCTGAAAGAGAATTACAGTTGATGATATAGATATAGTTTGAAGATTCGAATAATTTCCACGAGCTTTTACATATAGCAGATGACGTCATACCTATTATCCAGTTTAACTAGCCCCTCTCGTAATTTATCATATCGTTCGTTAGATTTCATTTTCTCGTTCTCGGCTTCACTCTTGAATTTGGAATTCATTCTGGATCTGCTACTACTGTAGAGTGGGCGTCGTATCTGTGGCAATAAATTATGTGTAAATTAATATGGCTGATGTCAAATACCAGTTTATTGATATATGTATTGGTAATTATACAATAGTCGTCCTGCACAACATTGATATACTGGTATCTGAATATGAAATTGCAATGACAGTGAATAAGGTTTTCAAACCTAATTAATACCTTCGGGCCTCTTTTCTTTCTTTTTTTATTTGGCGTCACTATTTCCATGGCAACATAAACTCTTCTCTTCATCCATAATGGTAGATTTTTCTCAATGTTTTCAATAAGATTCACCTAAAAATACAGTATTTTTGTTTTCGCGATGCGACACAAAATTAATAACAGAGAAAATTATTTCTACGCTAACGCTTAACAATGTATCCAAAGCTTAAGTCACAAAGTTCAAAGGGAATACAGTCATCTCAAAGTTATATATAATTATTATTATGCGTGAATTTATACAATTTATTCATTGGTTAGAATATATTATTGAATCGTCAGTACCATCATTTCTAGTTTCTCCATATATGCATTCTTCTGTACCTTCTCTATGTCACCAACAGCGATACCAATCTGTAGAGAGAATAAAACCCCAACAAATCGTAGTTACAGTTGATGGATTTGAATCGTGGGTATATACATTGATTATTTACACATGTCAGTTTACCACGAGTTGCATTTCAATAGAATCAGATAATCTCATGTGACAGAAGTGTTTGCAATTATGTCCAAGAAAGGTACTTACCATTAGATTCATGAGTACAATGGGCATAAGTAGTATGCATATAACTAATAGTATACGGGAAGTTGCTGAGAATGGATATAGATTTACAGAATAGAACATTTCACCATAATCAAACTCTCCAATTGTCATTAAACATACTTTAAGTAAAGACTGTCCAAAATCTTGAAATTGTTCCTGGAGAAACACAAGAAATATATTATTTGAGTCAACTTGTTCACTTCGCTGTGTTTTGTTATTATAGATTGATGGCCAGGACACAATTGTTTAAATAGATGAACTATTTTTAATAGTATCACATGTTGCGAAAAAGCGTATACTTACTAAACGTGACATCATTATGAAGAATGAAGACCCGAATGCACAGACGAATAAAATGAACACAACGATAACCTGCAAAATAATTATGATAATGTGTGTGGAAACATAACAATATTCAGATATATGTTGATAATTATTAATGTTCATAACGAATACTCAACAGATTCGAAAAGAATTAAAAGTAAATCTTACTTTCGTGAACGACTTCAAAACTGAGAAAAACATCAGAACGTAGATTCCAAACATGTCAAACCTACGCAAAGATATGAATATGATTTAGAGAAATATACACCCTTTAAGCTAAGCACATATCATATTTCAGTAACAATAACAAGTCAATGTTTAGCATATACATAAAATATTCATATATTCAACGATGAAGCATTGTTTTTTGTATTGAATTTTGTTTTAACACAGATTCATAGTAGAGAATAAACACCTTGTTAATCACACAAAATATGTAGACTGATGATTAGTACGCACGAAAACATTTGAGTATCTATAATTGAAATCTCCTCAAAATATAATGTCGTGCCCCAACTTGTTTTTTCAAACATCCTAACAATTTGCTCAGAAATTAATGGATCCGAATGCTGGGTAAAATTGTACATGAATTCATGCATGTTGTGAGTTACTTACGTTCCAATGTACAGTATAAAATTCATCCAGGCTAGAAATACGGCAATGGTACCATTACGCCATTGCCAATCGCATGGTTTCTGGCCTGGTGGAAGGGCAAATATGGCAGCAGTGAAGTATAAACACCAATCAGTGTAGTTCTTGAAACTTTTAAAATATTCCCATTCCTGAAAAAAGTAAATGTTTTGTTTGAAAAAATGTAACTTAACTCAGTTAACTTAATTTTCTTTATTGTACTCATTGTATTATTTATTGTATTTTATTGTTGTACTTTGTAAATATCGCTAGTTTGCCGCCAGGCGCTGTCAGTGAGAAATTTGCATAATCGAACGCAACACGTGCACGCACTGCACTGACACTCGTTTTTAGGTCTTCAGCAACACTATTTGTGGAGCCAAAACAAGTCTCGCTCTGAACGAGATCTCAGTGGCATTTGTGCGTCTATTGAAACAACATCGATATCAGTAGAAATTACACGGCCTTTAATAGCCCATTAAAATGTACCATGAAATCACTAGGAAAACTGAATAAAGAAACACCGGTGTTACTGTAACTGGCCACCCACGCGATGCGTTACCGTCGTCCATGTATTGTTTATCTCATGTGATTACCTGCAGTATTTGTGAACCTGATGTTGCTTTTTTTGCATTGTTCTGAAAGAAATCACTACGAATATCCGTGGATTAGCAAAAGTAAAAAAAAAATCCAGCATAAATAACTAATCCGATAATCGTCGGAAAGCCGAAAAATGTCGAGAACCACGGTTTAAGGAGTATCATTCCAGTAATCGTCGGAGAGGGGTAAAAAGTCGACAGCCATAGATGCGTGGACTAAACGCGAAGTGTTTCTGTCGGGAGATTGAGTTTAAGGGCACTTCCAGATAAGCCTAATCTCACACCAAATTTACTTTCTGGATTAAAATTACAATGGATAACAAAAAATAGATCAACTTTGTAAATAACATAAACAATATTGTCACATGATTCTTTGGTACAATCCCTGGGCTTGGAAGGTTCCCCTTTAATTTGATAAAAAATCAAAAGCTAGGACAAATCATGTGTATCATATTTCACCTTAAAGCGGGGGAGTCGTCATATATATATATATATATATATATATATATATATATATATATATATATATATATATTATATATATAGTAATAATATATATATTATATATATACTAGATTCTCAAACAGCAATATATATGAAACAAACAATTTACCATGTTGTGTATTTCAATTATTTCTTTCACGAGTTGGAATAAACAGTAGATGAAAATACAAAGTTGCACCAATGTTAGGAAATCTGTCTGGGCTACTGGTTTGCCATCCTGTAAAACAACAATAAAGAATACAAATCAGTTTGGTACAATGACGTCATGTTATGTGGAAACTTGCCGTGTATCGCATTGATTAATTGATAATGCCCATCATAGACATTAACCATGTATAGTATAAGACAGACTATGCAGTTGTAGCTGGTATGATATGATTGCAGAGAAAAAGACGACAATATTATGTGATAACGGGATTGGGACAGGGCGGGACGCAGCCGTCCGTGTTACGCTTTACGCGTAAACGACATAATAGCGACTTCTGGGGACATTGTGCATATTTGCTATAATATTCAGATTTTTTCGCTAGGCTGCGTCTCGATCGGTTGCGCACACCCCGTTCTTGGTCTATTATTTAAACGATAATGAACCCGGCACATCGCCATATTAGATTAGAAAGGTTTTATGGCAAGATAATTGGCGAGGCGAGGCTGATTCGCGTCGAGACCCTTCGCTGAATCCAATATGAAGCTGTGGATATTGTGGTGCGGTAACGTAAAACTATTTATGATGTCATAATATCTCTAATTCTGAGAGTGGTGATTTATAACACTCAATTATAGGACTTTTTTCCCTAATCGTAATCAGCTACTACACGACATCCACAAATGTTGAAAAATTTAATATAGCAAAAATCCAGATACAGGCGAAAAGTTAAAGGGCGGCGTTCGTCGTGCAGCGCGTGCTCGAAATTCAAGTAGACAAACAATGTATTTTACACTTTGTGTACGTCGCTGGTAGTCCTATATCAAACAAGAGGCGGCGCGACGACCACCTCCCTTTAACGAGCAAGCGACATGGTATGTTAAAAACACGCTCATTGGTAATTTTCCAGGTGAAAAAAAAAAACAGGAATTCCTAACGTGAAAGAATCATGGTGGGTTTGTATTTAAACGATCCGTACACATGAGGGGAACATTGAATATGACTGATACACACACTTTTTCGAATATGTATGCACTGACAACAACCATAATCCAGGTATCGTCTGGTACCAGTAATTCCGTACGTAAGATGTGGGTATGCTTTGCAGTGGTTGGCACGCCACGTGTAGCCTTACCATGTCATAATACTCTGTGTCATTTGCCGGACATCCCCTTTCATCTAGAATCCATGTATTGATATGACCATTAAGATTGGCATATAGAGTAAGTAATATCAAAAACAACAAATAACATATAAAGTCGGCAATGAGAAAGGGGAACGCAAAATTCGTCCTGCAATATGAAACAGAAGTCGAACATGAAACGGAATAAACGACACCAACCGAAAGATTCTAGAAGGGTCACTGCCTGAAACGTTTAGCACAGCGATTGTTATAGATCACATACAGTAACTATATTATCACATTTATAATTCCTAGCAATCTACACTGGTTGTAGGCGATCGAAAAGTATGTTGGTAAACTCTTTAAATGCTTGGTTATATATGATATTCACATTTAAAAATATTCTGACAGTATTACCATTTCCTCCGTATCAGTTTTTGTGCAAGTTCGTGCGATAACAACGATTCTCTGCCGTGATTAACCATTGTCTGAAAAATATGCAAAACATTATCAACTTAGAAATACTGCAATGCCCGATCGACATCTATTTTCCTAGTCCATTAAGGAAGTTGAAATAAATAAAACACACAAATGTCAGCCACAACATACAGTCAAACACTATACAAAATCAGCCGAGAGAACGGTATTCGGCCCTCAAGGCATACAGAAACGTAGTAGCGTCAGGTGTCTCGAAAAAAAGTGAACACATTCTGCTACACATATGGGCCTATCATATAACATTCACAGTAACAATCTAGTAGACTCTGCTAGGACATTATGGTCTGCCTCAATTATACCAAAGACATTAAATTTTCTATTGTCTTTGATTATACAATGTGATAATACTAAACATGGTGAAGAAGAACAACATTTAATATCGTCAAACAGACATTGTATATTGTCACCTTGAGCGCACTCCACCTTTGCTTCGGTTTCTTTTTTAAATTGTCATCTGGATTTGGAAAGACGAAGTGATAGTCGTAAACTACCTGTAAACAATAACACGCAACATTAGAAACATAATACGACCAGTCATCTAGTTTATCAAAACTACGATCCACTATTCCTTCAAATCTCGCCCTCTAGTGACGGCGTGCTTCAGTGATGTCAAAATGACGTTTATGCCGCCATCTTGGATACGACATGAAACTAAATAAAGGGACAAGTTATGAAACGCGTTTTTCAGATTTCTACAAATCGGGGAAAAAGTAATCCTGTACAAAACAATCAATACATTTCAGTACGTAAAATCATAGTATAATTTACCGAAAGTATTACATTGAATGTCGGAGTGTTACGAAGTACGAGTAATCATGTGTACTCCCGACACAATCGTGACGAGTCAGTAAAAGCAACAAGTTATATGAGACATTGCGGTTAATGTTCGAATAGGTTTTTTTTTATTCGGGATACTAGTAGAAGATATTAGATAGACTACTATTATTTAGGTTGGTGACATGGGTTGATACCCACATTCGTTATATGTGGTAGTTGATGGGTTGTTTACCGTTATTGTTGTTGGTGATATGGTTTGCTGCCGACATTTGGAATAGGTGGAATTTGATGGGTGGATTGGAGTACGTGATGTATTGGTTGTTACCATTGCTAGAATAGGTGATGTGTGTTGCTACCAGCTATTGTCGAGATACTGTAACTGGTATTCGATATGTTGTTAGTGTTATTATAATATGTGATATGGGCTGCTACCGACACTCGGTATAGGTCACGGTGGGATTTTTAAGGTTGTTTCACAGGGAGCCCAGGAACTATGATCAACTGTACGCACTCCCTATGAGCGGGGTGGGTATCGGCTGGTGACTAGTGTAAAAATAGACAAGGGATGAAGGCTCCAGGGAGCTCATATTTTTTAAACTGGAAAAAACAGAATGAAAAATAAAATCTATAACAAATACCAGGTTGAAGAATATTAGTTGCTCTTTCAAATTTCGCCAAAGTCTTTCCTATATTTTACCTATATCTGCAGAATAAATCAAGAAAACTACACAAATGGACTCCATTTATGAATAATTAACGGTTTACCCGAACGCACGGCACATATGGTTCGTAACCAGTCTTGTGATTGGTTGTTGACAAATGCTGAACAGGCTACGCCTCCAACTGTGCCGTACGTTCGGGCCAACGTAGTTTTCTTGATTTATTCTGCAGATATAGGTAAGGCTTTGACGAAATTTAAAAGAGCAACTAATATTCTTCAACCTGGTATTTTTTATAGATTTTATTTTTCATTCTGTTCGTCTGTTTTTCCAAGTTTAAAAAATATGAGCTCGCCGGAGCCTTCATCCCTTGTCTATTTCTTACACGTCAGTAATTGGACCACAGGCATAAAAAAATTACTGAACCTTTTAGAAATTAGTGATGTTTGCGAAAAAAACAGTATTATCCCATTAGCTACAAAAAAAACTAAAAAATATGTTTGAGAAACACTGCACAGAAACAATGCATAATGACAATAAAAGCACTAATCACAAAAATAAACTTCGTACCTACAGACAGCTGAAAACTGATTTTGCACTTGAAAAATACCTTGAAATTATTAAAAACCCCGTCCACAGATCATCTATGACTAAACTGAGGATAAGTGCCCACATACTTCAG